ATCTATCTATCTATCTATCTATCTATCTATCTATCTATCTATCATCTATCATCATCTATCATCTATCATCTATCATCTCTATCGTCTATCTATCTCTATCTATCTATATCTATCTATCTATCATCTATCATCTCTCTATCATCTCTATCTATCTATAAATCTATCTATTCATCTATTGACTAATATACACACACATTTACAGTCAGTCATTTTGAGGGTTCTTTGGACTTTTTAACACCAATTTTATCAAAGATGTCATCTGGAGATTTTCATCACTATGCCAATTGTTCTGTCTAGTTTTTAAATGTAATTTTATTATATTTTTTAAGAGAATTTAGAGAAACTACATAATCTGTTACTAGGTTCTTACTTCCAAAGTCTATCTTTGCTTTTTAACATTATCACTTGTGAATATATTGCTCACTGTCATTGAATACCGACTTTCTTTTGATTTCTGCTCTTTTCTTTCTTGCATATGAATTACATTTATGATATTTACATGGAGAGATCATGAATAATGCTGTTTTGTTTTGCGTTTAAGTTAGAGCCATAAAATGAGAGATTGAGCATTTATTAAGATCTCATAACTTCAAAAATGGCTTGAGATTCTCTCCTTGATATTTTTCTTGATTTTGGGGGGTAATAGTCGCAACCTATACAACATCCAGAAAGAGAACAGCAGATTATTTGTAAATTTTAGAGACTATATATTAAGTTTGTGGATATATTTTTGAAAAAACTTGTTGATAAGAAGCTCATTCTATTCCTAATAGCTTTATTTGTCAATAATTAGAATTATTGCTTGTATTCTCCTATTCCATCCCCTGGCCCTGCCTCAATCTTAACCCATGAGAATATGAATATTTAAATGCAGAATTCTTCCAAAATTATTAAATATATGAACAAAATCTAGAAAATTCTGCTTATATTGTTTATATAAATCTATCAAAACCTCTCCTTTTTTAAAAAAAATTCTCACCTAAGAATATGTATCACATACATACACACAATAATAATAATAAACCCTTACTTAGCACTCACTATGTGGAGGGCAGTGTTCAAGGCACTTTACAATATTCTAACTCCTTTAATTCTCACTGTAAATAAGCCCTATTGCTTGTTTCTATTCTATAGATAAGAAGAAGTCAAGGCACAGATAATTTAAAGATTCTGCCCAAGACCAAAGAATAGTGAAGCTGGGATTTGAACTTCACAGTTTAGTGTCAGTATTAACGTTCTTTAAAACTACATGATATTACCTCTCAATTCACATAATCCCTTCTTCTGATTTAAAGCACTTCAGTTAGTCTCGAATTGTTCCCGGGGATCACAGAGTCTATAAACCCTACCTGGGGTATTCTTCCTCCCTGCCCTTTGTTAAATACTTTTCATCCTGTTTTTCATTAATTGTCATTTCTTTAGGCAATCCTTCTGTCAAATCACTATTTTTAAAATTTTTAACAGCTTTATTGACAAATAATTGTACAAGACACTGCACATGTTTAATGTCCACAGTTTGCCAGTCGGGGTGATAAACATCACCTCTGAAAGCTTCTGCGCCCCTTAGGATTTGCTTTTTGTTTGTTTGTTTTTTACTTACTATTTGTGTGTGTGAACACTGAACTTGACATCTACCATCTCAAGTAATTTTTAGGTGAAGAACACAGGATTGTTACAGATACAATGCTACAAGCAGACCCCTAGACACTCATCCTGTGTTAGTACTTTAAACCCATTGGATAACCGTTCCCCATTCCCTTCTCCTGCCAGCCCATGGCAATCACTATTCACTCTGTTTCTATGAGTGTGACTATTTTAGACGCCTCATAGAGGTGAGTTCATACAGTATCCGTTCTCCTGTGACTGGCTTGTTTCGCTCAGAGTAATGTCCTCCAAGCTCACCCATGTTGTGCAGATTGTAGGATTTCCTTCTTTCTTGAGGCTGAGTTATCCATTGTGTGTATATAGTACATTATTTTTATTCATTCACCTCTTAGTGGACATTAGGTGGTTTCCATAATAGAAATAATGTGAATACTGTATTTTATTTAATGTAATATAGCCAAAATGCCATTTCAACCTGTAATAAATATTTAAAAATATATTAAGATATTTTACATTCTTTTTTATACTAAGTCTCTAAAACAGTGGCTCCTATTTCATTTCCTGTGTGCATTTTCTTGTATTTCATTTTTCTGTCTCCTTATGGATATTTGGGCTGTTCTATTCTTGGCTATTATAAACAAGATTGGCAGTAGATAACTTCAAACACACTTGTGCAAGTATAAGATCTTATACTTATATAAGTTAAAAAAACTTTCCTAAGATTATTCTTTTCTGAGTCTGGCTTTAAGTGTATGTCACTAATTAAAAGGCAGACAGGGCGAGACTGAGAAATATTATCCATTCAAAGTATACCCTGGCTTTGCTTCCTGAAACTGTTGAAAAAAATAAGGAAAAACACCTTGACTCTATTGGCTGACACCTCTCCCTACATTAGTAGAATCCCAACTAGACTTTCTCACCCCGTTCCAGTCTGCCTACCTCACAATCCCACAGCAGATGTCTATTGTTCAAATCTCTCAGAGCATTTTTAGCTTTTATTTTAAATTAAATTATAGATTCACAACTGAGAGACTGACATCAAGACATAGTCCTTTCCCCCCAATTTCACATTCACTCATTTGTGCATGCCTGTATAGTTCTGTTCACTTTTGTGCAGATCAATGTGACCGCTATAATAGAGACAGAACTGCTCCATCTCCACAGGCCCTGCCCTTGTAGCCGTCCCCACCTCCAGCCCCATCTTTCATCTCTGGCAACCATGAATTTGTCCCTCATGTCTGCAATTTTATCTCAAGAATATTATATAAAAAAATCATAGCGTGTAACCTTGTGAGGCTGGCCTTTTCCACCTTAGGTAGTTCCCTTGAGACGCACTGAAGCCTTGCATGTATCAGCCCCTCCCTCCTTTTTGCTGCTGTATAATCCTCCATGTGTGGATGTGCCAGTGTGGTCAACCAGTCACTTGGAGGAACACATTTCTGTTGTTTCCAGTTTTTGATGTTTACAGATAAAGCTACTCTGAACACTCATGTGCAGTTTTTGTGTGAACATACATTTTTGTTTCTTTGGGACAAATGCCCAAGAATGAAATTGCCAGGTCACGTGGAGGTTGTGTGTTTAGTTTTAGAAGAAACTGCCAAATGGTTTTTCAAAGTGGCTGAACCATTTTCCATCCCTACCGGCAATGAATGAGTATTTCTTCCATGTCCTGAACAGCATTTGTTTGTGCTTCTGTGTTTTACTTTAGCCACTCTGACAGGCGTGTAGTGATGCTTCACTGCGGTTATAATCTGCGTGCCTCTGATGGCTGATGATGTGGAGCATCTTGTCAGGGGCTTATCTGCATCTCTATCTGCTCCGTGAAATGTTTGTTCATGTCTTTTGTTCATTTTCTAAGTGGATTGTCTTATGTAAAGTTTTGAGGCTGCCTTGTGTATTCCAGATAGAAGATCTTTGTCATGTAAGTGTTATACAAATATCAAATCACTATTATTAATTCCTTTGCATCATGCAGCTCTGTCAACAGCACTTACCACAGATTGTAATTATTCAGTTAATTTGTGTCTTATCCACTGTAGTACAATATAAACTGCATGCACTATTTTATCTCCTTTGTATAATATAGTCTGGCACATATGTGTTGCTCAAAATATATTTTCTGAAATAATGAAAAAACAAAATAAGAAAAGAAGGGGGGTAGGGAGGGAAGAAGGAAGGAAGAAAGAAATACAATCCTTGGAATTGAAAAGGCCTGGGAAGAGCAATTGGCAATTTTGCTTACAGGTCAGGAATCATTTTTATATCCTTCTTCTCGAATCATCACTCATTCTTTGTTCCAGTGGTGGGTTTTCTACCTCAAGAAAAATTGCTGTCATTGCTGAGTGACTCTTAACAACTATTAGAAAATTCTTTCTTGGCCAGAGCTAATGTATGTCTCATACTAAATTTTACCTGTATGCTCTACTCTTCATTTTGGGGCTTCCTGGAATATGTTTCATCCCCTTTTCACATGGCACGTTTTCAAATATTTGAAGTTATTATGTTTCTCTCAACATATTCTTTTTCCCCAGCCTAATGATACCCAATCGCTTATATTTTATGGCATAATTGTATGTGACATAGTTTTATTTATGTGCTTTGAAGTCTTTAAAAAAATATTATTTTTCTTAATGTCAATTAATTTTATTTCTTATATTTTGAAAACTGCATTCAAGGTGTGTTAGTTGGTTCTTTCCTCCCATCCCCCAAATAAGTTCTGGTGTGAAAATAAGTTAGAAATACTGCACATTCTATTCTCTACTTGGGAAGTCACATTACAGAACAATGTATTACATTTCTGAGAGGTTTGGGGTAAAATAATATGTTGGACTTTCTTTAGTCTGATGTTTCACAAATATATACATTCATTTTTCTAGGGAAATATATCAAATTTTATATGAATTTTCAGAATATCATTCTGGAAAAATATATAAAGGCATGCATTAATCCTTATGGAATATTTATTGTTTATAGCATATGTCCTACAAAATCAGAAGTCTAAAGTAAACTATACTTTGTTACTTAACAAAATCCTGGATTACTTTTTTAACTCAAGAAAAACAGGTGTCAGGTACTTGGAGTATGAATTTCTTCTCATGTTTACTGGCAGAAAAGAAAAAAGAAAGTGGGAAAATATGTTTGCATACATCCATGGTAGAAAAATGGAAATAATTGTTACTCTAACACTTTCTATTAAAATGTGTTTCTAACAAAACTTGTAAGTAATGCCCCTGAAATAAATCTGAAATAAATATTTTACTTCTGTTTTGTTGGAAAGTATTTACTCTTTTTATTTAAAAAATCCAATAAAACACTGACAAATATATGAGTTGAATGCTACAATTCAAGTGGGTTTCAAATGTTAAAATACTAAGATTCTGTCAGAAATGTGTTATAATAAATGTAAAAACCAAGGAGTTTAATTGCTGGAGGATATTGTACTATACCTAAGAACAGCAGCTATAAAAAATAGTAGTAAACTAAAAATGGCTGTTGCCCTGTCATTTGGTATTAAATGACTAAAACTCTCTCATTATGAAGTATTTGATGTATTTCATATCCATTCTTGAGCTAAATACTAAACTTTCACCTACAAAAGCTACTTAGTTATCTGAATTTAATTATTTCTTTATAATTATGATAAAAAGGTTTTTTTTAATTTTCTTCAGCTCACCCTATCTCCTGTTAGGTTACTATATTTATACTGTCTGCAAAAGCAATTTTGAACATATTCAAACAAATATGTTCATTCTATGGCACAACCAATGCAATTGCATTACTTGGTATTAATAAGCTGTGAAAGAGACAAAAAAGAATTAACTTTGAGTTGATAAACTACTTAACTCTGTGTCTGTTTTATTTATTTAAAAAAAAAAGTAGGCAGGCCCTGCTGGATTGCTCGGTTGGCTGGAGCATCGTCAGGTACACCAAAAGGTTGCGGGTTCAATTCCCAACCATGGCACATACTCAGGTTGCAGCTTGGGTCCTCAGATCCTTGGTCGGGGCGCATAAGGGAGGCAACTGATGGATGTTTCTCTCTCTCCCTCTGGCTCCCTGCTTCTCTTCCTCTTCAAAAAAAGGAAAAAGTTGGCTGTTCTATGTATCTTTGGTGAAAGCACCTTTGAGTAGAAAAACTAAACTGCACAGATGAAAATGGCGGCCAAGAGCAACCGGAAATGTGATTTTTGTTTTAAACCTATGAATGTTATCCAAATTTCATATCAGAAATATCAGTGTATTAAACCAATCTCCTATTGTTGAAAATGTGTTTAAATAATGAGAGTTTGAAGGAGCCTGAAGCAGGTCATTAAATCCATTGGGATTGGTGGTTTGATCTCATTTCCATCCAGACGAAGGTAGCTCAGATGAGGTCCATAAATGAAGAAATCCTGTTCTGCAGGCAGTATGTTTGGGGTAGGGCATATTACGGAGACGTTCACATCTAGGGAGACAAAGATAGCATGGGTGAATGAATTGGAACACAAGAGACTAAGAGAGGGAAGGCCAAGAAACTACTACAACAGCCTTATGGAGAGCCAGTCTTGTGATCTAGAAAGTGGCAGATACAAACCATTTTTGTGTAAGTTGGGGGTTGTGCATATCTGTTTTATAAAAGTGTTCCTGAAAAACTGGGCATCTCACCCCATATTCTGCTATACTTGGTAGGAAGCACTAAAAAGGACACATTGTTAAATATTATGATGGAAACAAGGTATAAGGCATGCTTAGATTACTATTGACTGAGACAAGTGAGATTTAGGGTATTAGAGGCAAAAGTTCAGAGTTGGCACGAAAAGAATACGTAGGAGCACGGGTGGATGGGTGAATGGGTGGATGGGTGGGTGGGTGGATGGGTGGATGGGTGAATAGGTGGATGGGTGGATGGGTGGATGGGTGGATGGGTGGATGGATGGATGAATGTGTAGGTGGGAAATCAGTCTATTAGAGAAAGTGCTGGAAAATCACCTTAAAAATGCAAAATTTCAAATTAATAGTATATAGTGACAAGATTTTTTTTTAAAAGTACAATCAACATAAGTGTGCAATGTAACACATAAAAATAACTTGAATCTTTATACTTAAATGTATTTAATTAGAAAGGAAACATTTGCCAAGAATTGAATTACAAAGAATTCAAGCCAGGAAATATACCATCAGCCTTTTCAGATGGTTAGGATGTGAGAAATTATACACCTGCCTTGGATCAGAGCCCTTGGCATCAATGATCATACTGAGATATAGAAGCATTCAGGAGAGAAGGCCTATTTAAACTAGCAAAATTCAGGAAAGTATAATAGCTGATCTCATTTGAAACTACTTAGAGCAAGAATTCTTCCTTAGAAGATGAGATCCACCTGACTCGGGCAATGGGAATTTATATTGTACTGAAAGATTTTATTCTTACAGTGAGGTTGCTTTGCTATGCTCTTATGCCATTTTGTGAATTGAACTAAAGATGAGTCATATTTTAACAACAGTTTTGTGTTTGTAGTTATTTTTTCACGTATATTATCACCATTATAATCACACAACCTTTGTCAAGCAATATCATTCTCCACATCTGGGTGCTATGGGAATGGCGGTTAGGACAGGGGAGGTAATGCACACAAGGTATTTGGGCAAGTGAGGCCGGAGCTGGGTCCCAGCCTAGCCCCGTCCTCCTGTGCAGGGTCCCTTGCTGATTGGAGAGACTGTGTCCCTTCTATGTGCTCTCTCCTCTTCTTTATCACCCTCCCTCCCATAATCAATGCTTGTGTGAATCAATGGAACATTAAAAACATGTGTTCTAGATTTAGTTATATTTTATAAATTAATTATGATGTTTCTGAGAGGCCACCTAGAAGTAACTTATTTCAACACATAGCATTTTGCCAAATTTAAAGTCCCTTCACGTGTTCAGAAGAAATAAAAAGTGTTGCCATCATTCTGCATAAGGCAAGTTTACTGTTGCGTAAATTTTGAGAACTCTTCATATAAAAGGTGTATTTCTTGGAAACCACTTTATTAACAACTAGAGTAGATTATGTGACCAGAAGAACTAAGTGCTTTAAAATTATTATAACACAGTGTGATATAATGGAGAGCCAATAATTCTAGCCAGGGAAAGACTCATTTTAAATTTACTTACTTGGAATATAAAAATGACCATGCTTTATATCTACGTTACAAAGCAAATAAGTCAATTGCTCTTTGTTGATGTTGCTGTTAAAATTATTAACAGACATCTTTCTCAAGTTTTGTATTTTCAGAATTGAAGAAAAATGTGCCGTGATTATACCGTATGAGTGGGGAAAAAATACTTAAAATGAGAAGCCCTGGGCTCAGGTTCCTGCTATTATATTTACACTTTGTTCTTAGCAAATATCTTTTCCTAGTTGAGCCTCAGTTTCTTTTTCTTCAAAAATTCCTAATAGTAGCAAACAAGGCTCCTTTAAGGATAATTTGTGGTTCTCAAAGTGTGGTCCCTGGACCAGCAGTATAAATACTCTGCCTGGGAACTAAATGGCTGGGTCCTACCACATAGCCCTCCAGGTGCTTCTGATACACGCTAAGATATGAGAACAATTGCAAAATAGAAATACATAGGAAAACACTGTGTAAAACATTCTAAACGCAAATGAAGGGACTACAGAGTCTTCTTCTTTGTGTAACTTTGTATAATAATGTAAGTGCTGGCATATGTGCCCACCTATGTGTGGAATTTTGCCACCTCCCTCCTAAACGTCCTCATTATCAAATTCTCCAGGGGATCCCTAATTCACAAGCAGGGATTTATATGGAATCACTTTAAATTAACTCCCCACATCAAATATTTATGAGGCTTTTGATAAGGAATGCACCTGTAGAAGTACAGAATTTTCATCAGAAAATTGCACATATTTAGGTCAATACTGGCTGTTGTACTATCAGGTTCAGTGAAACAGATTCTGTGAAGAGTTTCTGTTGCTTCCTTGGCTTTTGATGACAGGATTAAAACATGTCCCATCACCATGGAAAAATAGCTGCAGTGCCAGCAGCCTGCTCATCACTTCCCGGATTTTATGCTGAAGTGTGTTGTTAGAAAAACCGAACAGATCTTGAATAGCTGAGTGGTGCCCAGTAGAAAATTGTCTGTTCTTATAAATATGGGATGTTTGTGCGATTACATACTTAAAGGAAATCTTAGTTTGTAATAACCAGGCAACATAATCTTCTGAGAATTCTCTGTGCCCTTTCCCTACAGACCACCCGACCGATTCTCTCAGTGGGCTTGCATTCGCGGAGGCTGTTCAGGCGAGGCCTCCTCACGATGACCTTCCTGAAGGGCTGCGCCGGGTTGAGGGCGCATGGCCAGGTGCCAGGCTGATACCAGTGCCCCCGTGGCTGTGTTTCTATACCACAGGCAGCCGATCTCAGGCATAATTGTGAAGGTGCCAAATTTGCCTTTAATGTCTCCAGCCTCTTCTTTCTATAACTACTTCTTTCATTGATGGCACCTCTGCCCCCAAGGCACTTGGCACTCATCTCACTCTACTTTATCAAAAGCTATTTTCAGGAAAGGAGAGGGTGTTTCATTTTGTTGATTGCCATTAGTTCTAAGGAGGTGCCAACTTCCAGGGACATTTGTTTTCATTTAAATTGAGCATAGCCTTCAACTACAGTATTGGTCCCCAGTAGAGAGTTCCCAAAGCAGCAGTCTCAGCATCACCTGGGAACTCATTAGAAATGAGAAGTCTCTGGTCCCATCTACACCTGCTCGATCAGAAAATCAGAGGTGGAGCCACCAGCCTGTGCACACTAAAGTGTGAGAAACCCACTGACCTGAAGCAGAGACTCTAATGACTGTGGTTTCAGGCATCAGCTGCCCTATAGTTTTAAGGAAAAAGGTGCCGTCCTGATAACCTCTAATCATGTTCCTTCTGTTACTATTCACAAGGTTGTGCCCGGGATGCTTTCTTAAATAAGTCTACTTGGTGAGTCAGGAATATCAGAATCTCCTTGGAGTTAAAGGAGACAGAGACATTTAGTTTCTCTGATAATAGCCCTCTGTGGATAGTAAAGTCCGCTTAGCCATCTGCAATTCGAAGATAGAAACTTTTCAGTCCACTGAAACTATCTGTAAATAGGTACAAAATGCAATACACATTAAACATTGAGAAAATACACTTTTAAAAAATCTAAAGGCACATTAGTTGGGGGCCAGGAGTCAACAGAATTGCTATTCTTAAAAAAAGATACAGAATAAACTTAATGACTGGGCCTCTGATGTCACTTACTTTTGATTTTGTTATGGTCCAGGTGAAGGTGCTGCAGATGAGCATTGATCCGGGGGACCTTTGTGAGTCGATTGTGGGACAGCTGAAGATCTAGAATAGATGACACATCAAAACCTCTGGGGGGAAGGCCTGCATCTGACAGTTTGTTGTGGTTTAATCTCAGGAAGGCCACTTTAGGAATGACATTAAAATAATTTTCTGGTATTCCCTCAATGGAATTGTTGTCTAAAAACAGTTGCATTGTGTTGGCCGGCAACCTCGGTGGCATGTTCTTCAGGGCGTTCTTGGCCATATTTAACTGCATGAGGTTCTTCAGTCCCTTAAAGGTGTCCCTTTGAAAGGCATTGTCTAAGAGCTTATTGTGCTGCAGGTCAAGAAGGGTCAGGTTCTCCAGATTGCTGAAAGTCCCTTGAGGAATTCTGGACACCTTGTTTCTAGCTAACTGTAATTGTTCTAAACTTCTTGGCAATGGAGAAGGCACCTCCTCTAGTTCGTTATCTTCCAGAAATAAGAAAAGCAGCTTCTTTAGTTGGCTCAGGGCTCCTTTTTCAATGCCATCGTTGGTTATTTTGTTCTTGTTTAGATTGATCCATCTCAGCTGGGTGGCATTCTCGAACGGCTTCTCAGGAATGGTTTCTATCAGGTTGTTTTCAAGATAAAGATACCAGATCCTTGAAGGAATAGCAGGGATTTCTCTGAGACCACGGTTCTCACAGTACAAAGCAGTAGGGAAACTGGGGGGACAGAAACACTCCCTGGGGCAATCGAAGTCTTGCTCATTAAAATCCTCTGGGTCGTGGACCTCGTAGACCTGTCTCACAGTTCGAGTCCACACAGAATCTGTCACGAATACCACCCAGATGATGAAACAGATTGTGGTTGCCATTATAGTAGCTGTAATAAAGGATACGGCGGTTAGGTATTGAAGGTCTTGATCTTTAGGGGACTGCATGCACCAGAATGATGAGGAAACATTGCTTTTATGAGCAGACAGTAAACACATATCAACATTTTATACAGAGATATTAATTTATACCCATTTATTTATTAGGCACTATATGCAAAGCATTTTGCAAACACTGAAACTGACTCACCAACTTGTAACTTTCTGGTTTTAACCCAATCACAATGAAAACTGAAAAGCAAATTTTAGGAGTTCTAAGTGCTTTTCCATTTCAAGCTATTTAATGCAAGGAAGTTAACCGAAATCTGGAGTTGAACACAAGAGAACGAAAAAGTGACCTTTAAATAATTCAGATTGAGAATGTGTGTTGTTCCTAGGAAGCAGGCATATGCTTTTACTTTTATTCCTAAATGAGCAGAACATCTGGATGAGATTTCCCAGGCTCTGGGCCTTGAACCAAAAAAAGAGCAATCAGGGAACGTTTTAGCAGTTTGTTTTGAGGAAGGTTTTAAGATCTGAAGAAAAGTGTGTGATTAATCTTTTACTCTGTTGCTCAGCTTCTCAGGTAAGTTTTATTTGGGGGTGCTGGGAGAGATTTCTAATATGATACATACAGAACCAAGTACAGCCAAGAAATTTGAATTTTGAACTCTCTCTATATCACAATTAGCTAAATACTGTATTTAATTATGGCATTTCTATGGCTGATAAGAAACAAAACAAAACAAAAACCATGTTTAGGATGCAGGCAGAGCTTCGTATTTTCGGTATGGCTGCTAACAAAGAATAGGTTAACACTTACTGATACATGAACCATCTCAAAAACATGAACCTTTCCCATCGAATATAAACAAGATTTTAGGTACAATAAATTATTTTAGAAGGAAAAAATACATATGTATACATATCAGTAACATTCTACCAATATACATTTAGTTCAACTGCTAGATAATAAGGACCGAGTAAATTTTACTGATTCTTTAAAAAAAAAGATAAAACAAACCAGCATCACTAATGAAATGCTGATCTTTCAATTTTGCTGCTAAATTGAGGGAAATGACAAGTGCAGAGCTGTTTCCGCAAGCTGTCAAATTTCTTACAATTGCAAAATGCTGCTCTGGTCCCCTTCCAGCAGAGACATAAAAATATTCTCTTTTTTTCAGAATAGGGATTTGTTTTAGTTATTGAAGCAATAACCCTGCCTCTGATGGATCAGAACTTCAAATTCTTAACTTTAAGTTTTAAAAAGTGCAAAAGAGTTTACCTTGCTGTCCAGGAAATATATCGTTGAGTCCTGTGTCTGGGTCTGAAGTTTTCTAAAACTCAGTTAAGAAAAATCAAAAACAAAAAAAAACTTTGTCTAAAGTAATTTGTTTTTATTTCATGCTGTCAAGCCTCCTATGAGAACAAATAAAATTTACTCTGAGCAGTCGCCATGAACACCTTTGGGTCTATTGTTTCCACTTTGACAGGGCTTCAGGAGCCCGCTTACCTCAGCCTTCTTGGATTTTCTTCCCCCCTTTCTATTGGTCACTGCTCATTCACAGCAATGGATTGACCCGGGCTCCACTGTCGTGTTCTTATGAATCCTCCCTGATATACAGGCATCAGTAGCTCCCACTTTAACCCCTGCAACAACCAGAGCACCTCAGCACCTAGGCAGCCCAGCGCAGGAAACTCACTTTAACCTCAAGGACCTGTAACAATGATTCAGGGCGATTTTCACCCTGAAGTCACAGCTCCAATGATGCTGTAATGTGCTGATATCTAGACCTGATTCATCAGCAGGCAACTTAAGGCAGTTTTGGTTTCAAGGGTAACAAAAGAGATTTTAAAGCAATTTTTCCTGGAAGATCTTTTTAAAAAATGGGATACAAAAATATAAAGACCAATGTTCTCGGTGTATGTGGAACTATGTTTTGTTTGTTTGTTTGTCTGTTTCTCATATAAAACAGATTCTGGAATCCTATTTAGATATATTGTGTTTGCTTAAGGAAAAAAGAGATAAAAAAAATCTATTTAAAACTTTTAAAAATGAAATCTGGGAAGCTACACCTAATGCTGGCACTAACCATGGTGTTAAGTTCTGTTTTATATAGATACTTTTTTTATCTCTAATTCCTACTGGGAGCTTTATTCCAAATACTTAAAAAAATTTTTTTTTCACCATAACAAACATTTTACATTTAGTTTATTACAAGACATTCTGTTTCACTGCTATTTTTTTCTTTAAGACATACATCTAAGATAATGTCTTCCAGTTTTTATATCTGAGGAAAAAATTGTTGTGCCTTTTGAGGAAAGACACAGATTTTTGAAAAAAACCCACAAAAACATGTATTTTCAGACATTATTTTATTGATTGATTGTAATTTTGTTTTTCAAAATCTATCTTATCCTGGAGATAGGAAGCCAAATTGATATGCCTCATTCAACACTAATCACATAAGTCTTATGAAAGATAGAGCACAGGGCAGAGGAAAGGGCATTAGGTTCAAAGGACCATTTCTGAACCAGCCCCCTGCCTCCTCCCTCCTAACCATTGTCAGGACAATTAGAGCTCAGCTTGTCATCTGTAAAATAGTAATGGACTACCTCACAGGGGTAGTTTGTGGTAAATGATTATGGAGATGTAAGCCTTTCTTTATTTATATTAGCCTTACTCTCTCAACTGGAAAATGCATTCAAGTTTAAGAGCTTTCAGAGACAAAGTTCTGATTGAGATATGATCTCTTCATAGCTTTGCGGGGACACTCATATCATATTTTAAGAAAAAAATAAAATGTTATTTGCTTTCTCACAATGATATCTCTACATCATTTTTTTCTTTCTCTTTTATCATTTTCTAAACCCTCAGGACATAAAGAACAGATGATCTTCAAGTCCTCACAGCCCCCCTTCAGCTATTCCCTTATTTCTTTATTTTCTTTTTTAGGGAAATTTATTTCAGTTATTTCTTAACCTTATTACACAAATGTCGCTACATATCCATTGTAGGAAAATTAGAATAGTATACTGGCTGGCTGCCTTCAATCTTATTTCCTGTTCACCATTCGGTCCATGATCTGCCCACCAAAATATGGCTTCTCATCTCTCCACTTCCCTAAAATTGCTGATAAAAATCTGCAATAATCTTTCTCCTTGCTAACCTATTGAAATCTGTTAGTGCTTAGCTTACTTGAGTTGTGATTCTTAGAATGCTGACCCTCCCCTTTGACTAAATGTTTCTTTTAGTTCCTCTAACATCAGTCTCTCAGTTTTTTCCTGCCCTTTTCTGTTGACCTCTCTTTGCCTATGTCTTGAAGCTGTCTGTTTCCTCTAACATTTGTAAAAGTGTTTCCAGCATTTAGAGCTTTTTCAGATTCTGTCCTCTGTTCTGTGCTCTTTTTGCTGTATACACATTCCCTGTGTTACTCCATGGTTTTCACCATTCCCTCTATTATGATGGCTCCTGAGTACCTCCCTCCAGCCCAGCCTCTGAAAGACCTGACCCCCAAGGTGGCTCTATAGCTGCTTTCTAGAAATCTCCTGCTGCATGTCTCAAAGACACACATCTAAACTGAAATTTATTATCTCCCTTTACTTCTAAGTGCTCTTGTTATTTTATACTTTTGAGTGGCACTATCATCTTATTTAGTCTCCTAAGCCAGAAATCTGGAAATCATTATTAACTTTTCCTTCTCATTTTGTGAGCATCTGATAACAATCACATTTTAAGGATCCTGAGAGACATGATCTAAATAAAAATGACCATCTACAATGCTTCCCAGGTTTGGTATCATTGTTTCCAGACTAAAAACACAGAATGTTTTCCACTGTTAGTATAATCTCTATCTATATCTTGACTTTTCCTATAGCAATCTAATCTGCCTTTCTTTGAAGAATGGAGACAAATTTTTCACTGGAACTGCTTTAATGAAAGTTCAGTAAATTAAATTAAGATAATGGTGAGAATGTCTGAGTTTAAGAATTAATAACTCTTTCCAGTCTTATCTAACTCTACTAAATGAGAGAAAGGAGGCTGAAGGTGTAATGATGTGGCTTTGGATTGTCTCTCTAATGACAGGTTGGTATTTTAGAAGTCCATGAAGCCTTGGACACAGTAGATATTCAATAAATATTTACTGAATGAGTAAATGAACAAATAAAGACATAGGCATAAATATTACCTTAAAAGCCATGAATTTTTGATCAGCATAGTTACATAAATAGAAACATAGTGGAGACCCTTGGATATATGGTAAAAAAAAAAATCTGTTAGAGTTTTTCTTGTACAACTTACCAGTTGTTTGAGCTTGCACCGACTCTTTGACCATCGGGAGCCTGGGCTTGCCCGTGAAGCACCTGCCCTGCAGACTGCTAGGAAGAGTTGTTTGAAAATCAGACGAGAAAAAGGGGGTGAATATGTCACAAACAGTGAAAAAAGTTAAAGCTCGAGGAGAACTTATATATCCTTTTATTAAACTCTCTTCTCTTACATATCAGAAAAATAAGGCCCAGAAATTTCCTTAGGCAGAGAGGGTGATAGTAGGCATCTTGAACTACCTAAGAAAAGTCTTTCTAGAAATTTGAGGTTAAAATGTTGTTGTGCTGTTGTTGTTATTTTAAACTTTTCCCTTCTTTTCAGCACTTTTTAATGTTTCCTCTCTGCTTATCTTGCTTCCACTTCTTCCTATGAAAAGGGAGAGTATTTGCTATATTGTCTTAGCCTGAGGAGTTTATCTTGTTACATTACTGAAGATCATTGACGTTTTAAAAGAGAAGGCAATGCATGAGTGTAGTATAAATGCCATAATACTCTGGTGGAATTCCAAATTTGCTAGCATATGTCTGTGACACATTTATTTTAATGATGATTGGACAACTTAGGTGCTCCCAGGGGTTCTGTTTACGTACAATGGGCTGGACTTTTGTTAAGAGAAATCATTTTCTCTTAATGTATCAATTTCAGCCTTGTTTGACTAAATGCTGTGAAACAAAAAATATGAAAAAGAATCCCCCCAAACGTATAGCTTTCTCACACATGCATATTAATATATATTATTTAAATGTTTTTTTATCAAATATAACACATTTAAAATATAGTACTGATACATTTAAAAGGCCAAAAGTACTACAAAACTGATAATGAAGATGGCAATCCCCACCACACCCACTTTAGTGTGAGTCTCACTCTCAAGAGGCCATACTTTCAGCTCTACATGAATTTCTTTTAGAATTTACTTTAATATTCTTGCTTTAAAGTAATAAAAGTTATTTCTTTTCTTTGACTTATACATTTTAAGCATCTATTACTTTTCATTAGGTAAGAATTTAGTATACTTGTTTAGTATCCCTCCTTACCCCCTGCTGCCCTGATTCTCTTCAATAAGTCTGAATGTAAGCAGGTCACAAACTTTGAATAAATATTTACTGAACACATTATTATGCAATATAAATACTGTTTACTTCTAAAACAGTAAAAAATTATTTTAATTCTTACTGTACCACATGTATTAGCTTTTACATAAAACTATATATAGTATATTCTGTATACATATACAATATTTCACTAATATTTTCCAAAATCCCAAACAGAATTGTAGAACAGTTTTGAAAAAAATGTTGGCACTGAGCAAGAAGGGGTAACATAGTGTGCTGGTAAAAGCCACATGTGCTTGCGTTTGAATAAATCTCTACCGTTTATTAGCCGTGAGACCTTGAACAATTACCTTTGCCTTCATTTCCACATCTGTAATTTAAAGCTACTAATAATGATAATAATAATGGCAAACACACCCACTCCATAGGGTTGTTGTAAAGATGAAATGATTTCACATTTTTAAAGCACTTAGAACATTATAAAAGTTTTGATAAATAAAATCAGACACATTAGGTTCACTATGTTCTCCTGGAAGATATTTCCCCTGGAATTCTCCTACTTCAATCTAGTTTTCTTGCTGTTGCAAACAAACCTAAACACATCTGGCAAATGACAATTGTTAATTTTTATGCACATTCTCATTGTCTCATAGTTAATGAGGGCTATCGGAATCCTCCCTTAAACCCACACAGAGGTATTTATTATGTTTGATAAAAGTAAGTGCAGCTCAATTGTATCTTACGTAGCAGGTATTTATCTGCAACTGACATTAAAATTTTTCACATAGTGAGTCTTCATTATAAGGTTTCTTCAAACATTAAGCATACCTAAAACTATACACAAAAATCACACTGCCTCTGCTAAAGTGCTGTCATTCAAAGTACATTTATGGGCACAACCCTTGCTCCCTGGGCCTGTGGGGTTGTGGTCCTGGGCGTCCTTCACCCATTTTCTGTGTTAGACCCTTCCTGTGCCCATGAGAAATATATATATATATAATATATATTATATATATATATATAAAATTTATTTATTTATTTATATAATGAAATATATATTAATTATATATCAATCCTCACCCAAGGACATGCTTAGAATGAGGAAG